GAGGTCCCGGGACAGTGCAAGTTTATTTCAGCTTCCTGTCACGCCCACTCTAACGTCCACAAATCGCGAAAAACGAAAATCTCTAAAATCTCGGGAGCCATTAGAGCTAGAAAGTGGAAATTCAGTATGTATAAGCTTTGGAAGGCAGCGCATCTTTTAGTGGTACTACTATATGGCCACACCCACCCATACGCCCACAAAGCTCAAAAAACGGTTTTCGCATTTTCAAGAAAACCTGATATCTCGGTAACTATAATTGATAGAAAGTTCGGATTAAACATATATTTTTATGATGTCCCAAATGCGAATAGTTTTTTTCCATCTAGCCACGCCCACCCTAACGCCCACAAATCGCAAAAAATAAAATAGCTGAAATCTCAGGAACTATTGGAGCTAGAAAGTTGGTATATTAGGGATGCCACTGCAACTTCCCACGAGTTTTTATCCGGCCACGCCCACTCTAACGCCTACAAACCGCGGCACACTGTGGCGTCTATAATTATATTATGATTGCCTTCGTTTGACGTTGAATAACTTATTTCTGTTTATATGTATCGATTTACCAAAGATGCATGCGTTTTTAATAACAAGTGAAATACACCAACTACAAGATACAACGATTGGATATCTGTGACCTGATATTACATGGCGACCGTGACATTGAATAGTGCAATCTTCGGATTGATAGTGGAAAAATCAGTCTGTGCCAGCACCGGCGCCGCATGAGTCCAAAAGGCCCGGACAACAAAAAAAAAAAAAAAAAAATCATCAGCCTGTGAGATGACCAGCAACAGCAACAGCAGCAGAAACAACAACAATAGCAGCAGCGGCAATGGCATCAATTGGAATGACTTCGAACGGCAAAAATTCTGAGTGAGTACAGGGGTATGAGCTCCGCAATCACCAAAAAAAATAAAAGACGCAGTGGCATTAAAGAGCGAATCAGACAAAGAAAGTCTGAGATCGTAAGACTCTTATATAAGTCCGAAGTGCCACCACCCTGGGACACTGCAGTAAAACTAACAAGTGAACTCGAACATTTAGAGTCACTGTTAAAGGTGAAGAGCAACCCCTGTCCCTCAGTAAATACAAACATCCAAATTAACAAGAATACACATCGCCCACAGCCCAAAGAGATACCAAAAAGGAAACTCGAATGCCCACCGGACTGCGAAGGACCGCTCTACAGCCCGCACTGCTTGAGCACATGCCAGGCAAAGGAATAGATGTCGCAACATAAATCAATAATAAATAATCAATCACGAGAGGCAGACCGCCTCTTGTACCAACGATTGGAACAAGAAGAAAGTACGAGAGGCAGACCGCCCCTTGTACCAACGAAAGGGATCAAGAAGAAGTACGAGAGGCAGGCCGCCCCTTGTACCAACGATTGGAAACACCAAGGGTGAACTGACCGACAGCACTAAAGAGTGCGCAACATTAATTTTTAAATTATTATATATATATATTTGTAATGCCTGACGACAATTGAGTCGACCGGTAAGCCGTTTGGCCCGAAAAGCCATTCGAAACAGTAGGCAGGAAAACATGTATACAAAAACTAAATGTCTATAGAGACAAATAAGATAAGTAAAGACATAAAATTAGAATTTCCAGAAAATTTTGACAAAATGGGCATCGTAGACGTTAAAACTGTAGACTCTACAGCCAATGTTATCAACAAAGTAGAAATTGATAACGCTGATCTTAAATTTATAACTGTATTAATTGTAGTAATATTCATAATAAATGTGGCAAATCTATTGTATAAAGTATATAGATACCACAATAAATGTATCAAGGAAAGATTCCAGAGCCAAGCAAATGACTTGGATAAAATTTAAAAAAAAATTTAATTAAAAAAAAAAGGATTTTACATAATTAAGATAAATAAATGACAATTTTATGAAAAATATAATTCCATTTCCTAATTTGTTGAAATGTAATGTATCTGTGTGGTACCATTAAAATGTATAGATAGAGATACAGTTAAAAAAGGTAGAATAATATACCGAGGTAGAATAAATACCCAAAGCAACAGTAATCGTCGTTATAATAATAACAATAGAGGCAGAGGCCAGTATAGAGGAAATTATAGAGGACGCGGTAATCAAAGCCACGGCCAAAATAATAACCCCTATAATGTACGTGTCACCCAAGGTAGTTCGGAAAACTACCAGGAACCTTTAGGTACACAAAATTAACTTAAAAAGTACACACAGTAAACTTGAGTCTTAATATGTTTGTAGTATTCAAAAATTCCGCCACAAATAATAATCTTACATTTTTCCTAGATACAGGAGCAGACATTTCATTACTAAAAGAGAATTCCGATACTTTTGAAAACATCCAGCAAGATAGAACAATAGATATACAAGGCATTGGACAAGGAGTAATTAAGTCCAATGGTTTAGTTCGAATTGAATTGCAGACTGACAAGTATATAATTCCGCACAATTTCCATATAGTTTCAAAAAATTTCGCAATACCATGCGACGGAATTATAGGAGTTGACTTCATAAAAACGTTTAATTGCAAATTAGATTGCGAACCAGCAAATGATTGGTTCATAATAAGACCAAATAACTTAAAATACCCAATAAACGTTCCAATAAAGTTCAGTAATAATTTAATAGTATTACCAGCAAGATCTGAAGTTGTCCGTAAATTAGATATAAACTTACCAGAAGATATCTTAGTTCCAAATCAAGAAATAGTATCTGGTATTTATGTAGCGAATACAGTAGCAACATCCAATAACACATTTGTCCGTTTACTGAATACAACCAGTACCGACCAATTAATAGATATAAAAAACATACAGTATGAACCGCTTTCGAATTACGAGATAATTCAACCAAGCAAAGGTTTTAGAACAGATGAAGTCATATCCAAATTAAAGAAAAACTTTCCTACGCAGTTCAAATCAGACATATAATAAATTAATAGAACCGACACTACTACAATATCCTGATTTTAGCAAAGAATTTTGCATAATCACTGATGCAAGTAAGCAAGCATGTGGAGCAGTCTTAACTCAAGACTATAATGGACTCCAACTTCCCATTGCTTACGCATCAAGAGCATTCACAAAAGGTGAAAGCAATAAGAGTACTACAGAACAAGAATTAGCAGCAATCCACTGGGCAATATTACATTTTCGACCATATATTTATGGAAAACACTTTACAATTAAAACAGATCACAGACCATTAACATATTTATTTTCTATGGTGAATCCTAGTTCTAAATTAACACGCATGCGGTTAGAATTAGGGGTTTGTCGCAGCGTGGCAAAGCCTCACAGACCACTTTGAGAACCGGCGGATATTGGTCAATAGCCAGTTTAAGATCCTTTTCAACATCCAGTCTACTTCTCAAGAGTCCGGGGTCGCGCTGAAGGAGCTGCAAGCCACCATTCAAAATTGTCTGACAGCCCTAGAAATGTCCGCCATCAATGTTGAGGCTTGGGACTGTCTCCTGGTATTTATGATTTCCTCAAAGCTCCCCAAAGTCACACTTTCTATGTGGGAGCAATCCGTACATAATAAGGAAGGAATTAGATAACTTCCTGACAGAGCGCCATTGCACTCTGGAGGCCATCGACGACGTCCCTGCTTCCATGCCACAGCCGACACCACACCCTCCTGCACCGCGGCAATCCGTTCGCTACCGCTCCAAGTCCGCCTACTCCAGCAAGGGCTCGACCCGCACAAACTGTGAGAAGCACAAACGGCCCAGAGGATCAGTCGGATGTGCAGGTGTGCTTCGCTTCCGGGTCAGGAGCCGTCCTACTGGGCACGGCCCTTATCAACGTGTGCCATTTGGGGTGCAGTTTCCAGGCACGAGCACTGATAGACTCAGGGTCCGAAGCGACTTTTTTAACTGAACGACTGCTCAACCTTGTCAAGCTTTCCTTTAAGACGATTCAAGCCCAAGTGTCCGGTCTTAATCAGACCATTTCCGCGCAGTCTACTAAATTGTGCCATTTCTCCATTCGGTCGCCGTCTAGACCCGAGCTAAAATTAGAGACTGGGGCTTACGTTCTTCCCCAGTTGGCAGGAAATCTGCCATCATATCCGATTCCGCGAGATCGTCTGCCCGACATTCCCCTGGCGGACCCCAACTTCATTGAGAGCTCCCAAGTGGATGTTAATAGGGGCTGACATTCTTCCGTCCATTCTCCTCGGTAATACCGGGGCTAACATCTGCGGGTCGCTTCTCGGTCAGGAGACCATTTTTGGATGGGTGCTGACAGGCCCATTATCTCCAGCCAACCCTCACAGCGTGTCCATTTTTTCCGCACGAGTTGCCCGTATTCTCGGTGACTCACTGGATCAGCTCCTCACCAATTTTTGGGAGGTGGAAGATGTGCCCACACAGATTAATTCGGAATCGGATTCAGTTTGCGAGCACAATTTTGTCCAAACGACGAGAAGAGACGAGTGTGGCAAGTACGTTGTGACGCTCTCCTTACGCGACACCGAGCAGAATGGTTTCGAGCTGTCGGCGTCACGGTCATTTGCTTTTGCTCAGTTCCTACGTAATGAGCAACGCCTGAAGAGGGATCCGCCCCTTAAGGCCCGCTATGAATCGGTAATCCAGCAGATCCGCTACCTGATATCTTCCACATCATGCCGTCTTCAAGCCCGAAAGCACGACCACCAAGGTGCGGGTAGTCTTCAATGCTTCGAGCCCGTCCGCAAACGGGACCAGTCTGAACGACATTCTTTATGCGGGCCCGGTCTTACAATCCGACCTGACGATTCCAATCCTAAAGTGGCGATACTTTGGGTTTGTCTTCAACGCCGACGAATGTATCGGCAAATTTGGGTAGACCCCAAGCATACTCCGCTCCAACGTATTTTGTTTCGCATATCCGCGACTACGAATTAAAAACGGTCACCTTCGGTGTCAATTGTGCCCCGTTCCTAGCGATCCGTGTCCTGCAACAGCTTGCTGACGACGAAGAGTTGAAGTATCCGCAGGCAAGCCAAATTATGCGGCATTTTATGTACGTTGATGACGTTCTTGCGGGGGCAGACTCCAAAACCGAAGCCCAAGTTGCGATTCGCGAGCTAAAGGACGCCCTAGAGTCGGCAGGGTTTCCACTTAGGAAATGGATGTCGAATAGCAAGGCGATCCTGGCCGACATCCCGAGCGACCACCTCCTTCGTGCTGATTTCCTCGACATCGATGCAGAGAGCACGGCCAAAACACTCGGCGTGCGGTGGAAAGCAACGACTGATGAGTTCTTTTTTGTTCCGCCAGAGTTGACTTCCGGCTCGTCCTTCACGAAGCGCCAAGTCCTCTCCCGAATTGCCAAATTGTTCGATCCAGAAGGTTTGCTCGCTCTTTTCATTGTCCGAGTAAAAATGTTCATGCAGGACATTTGGCTTCTGGATCTGGGGTGGGACGACGCCCTCCCGCAAGATTTATGTCAGCGATGGGTTGACTTCCTGAAGAATTACTCGGTGCTCGATCAGATTCGTGTTCCTCGATGGGTCACGTTCCGACCACACCTAAGGGTCGACCACCACGGGTTCTGCGACGCTTCACAGAAGGCGTACGGCGCAGCAATTTACGTCCGTGTCGAGGTTGGGTCTACGGTAATAGTGAACCTGCTGACTGCAAAGACTCGAGTTGCCCCAAATAAAGCGGTGTCGCTCCCTCGGCTAGAGCTGTGCGGTGCCTTGTTGTTGTCGGAGATGGCCACCGCCGTTCTGCCAGAGATGCCAGGGCCCGCATCTGCCCCACACTGTTGGACGGACTCGACTATTGTCCTCGCGTGGCTGCAGAAGCCATCGTGTCAGTGGACAAAGTTCGTGGCCAACCGGGTGACCAAGATCGCCCAGTTCACCGACGTGCAGAATTGGGCACATGTCCGCTCCGAGCAGAACCCTGCGGACCTCGCCAGCCGGGGCGTAGCTCTCCAAGACCTTGTGGATAACCAGTTGTGGTGGCACGGTCCTGGCTGGCTGCAAAGGCCTAGCAGCGATTGGCCCACTCAAGGAAATGATGCCCCCGTGACTGAACTCGCGAAGCGAGCAGTCAAGGTCCATGTCGCGAAGGCGCCCCCCGAAGATCTCCTTGATCGTTTTTCCACACTCGACAAGGCATTACGACTCCTTGCCTATGTTTATCGCATCATCCAGCGCGTGCGGAAGATTCAATTTCCTTTCAAAGAGCACCTGACAGCTAATGAGATTACGTCGGCTGAACGTCTTCTAGTTTCCATCACTCAGAGCAGACACTTCGTCTCTAAAATGGGCTGCTTAAGCGAAAAGCGTCCAGTATCAGCATCCAGTCCGATTCAAAATCTGAACCCCTTCATGGATTCGCAAGGCCTTATGAGAGCCTGCGGCTGGGTCACGTCCTCTGAACTTCTCCAATATGACGAACGGCATCCGATAATCCTTCCATACGACTGCCATCTGTCTCGACTCCTTGTCTAATTTACGCATCGCATCACTCTGCACGGTGGCAATCAGCTGATGATCCGTCTGATCCGGGCCAAATTCTGGATTCCAAGGGTGAGGAATTTGGTCATGTCCGTCGTCTATGCTTGTTAAGTATGTGTATGAGAGCTACCGAAGGAACGGACATCCTTCTCGCGCCCATTCACGTACACAGGTGTGAATTATGCCGGTCCTTTCGAGACAAAGAATTATACGGAGCGTTTCATTCCTCCGGGAGCTTACACCCGGGCACTTTCTTGTGGGAGGTCCACTTCTCGTCACGGTCGAACCCGAGTTAAAGGGGGATATCACGTCCATTATTAACCGCTGGTAGCACCTGAAGGCTCTTCAGCAGCAATTTCGGCTGCGATGGAAGGAAGAGTACCTCAAGGAGCTCCAGAGAAACAAGTGGCGAGCCCCTACGAGGAATCTCCGCGTTGAGGATATGGTGGTCATTAAGGAGGACAACCTTCCGTCCAATGAGTGGCGATTAGGCAGGATTGACGCGGTGTATCCAGGATCCGATGGCCATGTCCGCGTGATCGACATCCGCACCGCGAGGGCTCGTCAAGCGTCCCGTTGCTAAGGTCGTCCTTCTTCCGATAGACGCGTCCGCCTGCCCACAATAATTATGCGTTTCTTCCGTTCCAATGTCCCTGACCATCCAAATCGAAATTCACACTAATTCTGATAACGCTGTTTTGTTTCTTCATCATATTTCCGCCAGTCATATTCAGCACGATATCGCCACGTCCACGCAGCGCCCAGTCACTGGAGAGCAGATGTACTCGAGGTACACAGTCCTACCGACGCCGAGTCTGCAGTGCGCTCCCTCGTCGCTACGCACTGCGCTTTCTACGTGCCGAGAAGCGGCTACGGGCGGTTCTCGTGAACCGGTATTGCTCCAGCTGCCTGGCCCTCGAGCACTCCGACGGATCGTGTCGGCGTGGGGACTGCTGTAAAACGTGTGGTCAGGATCACCACTCGCTGCTGCATCGTGGAGAAACCACGGGCTCGGCGCCAGCCTCGTCAAGAGGAGCACCGGTCACGGAGCGCGGGAGACAGTACACGGAGGGTCTCAGCTGGCGCTCAGCCGTCGTCCGTCAACTCCTGGCGCGGTTTGGTTGCTTCTCGGTCTTCGTCCGCCACCTTCTGGCACTCACAAGCCGGTTCACGGCCATCGACTTCCCGCCGCTCGTCGGCAGCTCCTCGGCATTCTTCCGCCACTGGCCGGCAGGCTTTAGGTGCTCCAAGGCCTTCGTCCACCACTCATCGCTCGTCCGTCCGCGGCAATTTTCCGCCTCTCGTCAAGGGCCCCTGCAGGACGCAGCCGCTTCGTCGCTGCGGCTGCGGAACCGCGTCAACGTGCTGCCAACCGCGCTAGTGCGCACTGACACCGGGATCCGGATCTTCGACACGGGGGCCCTTATCGACCCGTGTACGCCCTCGAGCTGCATCGACGCATCGCTAGTAGCATGTTTCCGTCTGCCCACTACCATCGTGGGGGACGAACAAGTTTGTTCGGCAACCGTGGGTTCCAAAACGGATGATAGCGTTCGGCTGGAGGTCGTTTTCAAAATCGAGCCTCACGTGCGCGTTCGTACGCCGTCTCGAGAGCTGAGCGAGGTGGTGCGTGCCCACTTCGGCCAGCGACGATCTCCGTTGTCCTGGGGGCGGATATGTACACGCGTATCATGCAGCCGGGCTTCCTGAAGATCCAGGACGGGCTGCCGGTGGCCCAGTGCAACGTTTTTGGGTGGGTCGTGTCCGGAGCCTGTCACCAACCGTAGCGACGAGGGAGCGGTTGCAACCCGAGTGATTGCAAGGGGGGCGGGATGTTTAGGTGAGGGGCCATTGTCCCGCCGCTCATCTTAGCTTAAGAGCGCATCCGCCCTCGCCCCTCTCTGCACAATCATGCACTCTCTCTCTCTCTCGGGTCCAACAGCAGCGGTCGGCCGTCGGTGATCGTCCGCTCTGGCGGTAGCGGCTTTTTTTTATGCTTTTAAGCTCGGTTCAGTTAGTTCCATTAAGCAGCAGAATAACCCTGACGGCCCTACTCCACGACGCCCCCGACTTCTTCTTTTCTACAACCAAGTGGAATCTTTTTGCGGCAACATCGCCCCCACAACAATAAAATAGGCGGATTTTTTTAACGGATACCGTAACATGCTCCTAAAAGATATTCACAAATTTGATGCATGAGTGTGAAGTGACACTTTATTAGAAAAAACAACTTCCATCAGAATCCATTCTGATGGAAGGGACCGAGATACAGATAATGGATTTTGGGGTGGGGGAAATTTATTTGAAATCATTAATGCCACAGTTAATCTGTCCCAGAACCCGCATTTTACAACCACTAAACATTTTAAAGAAAAACTAAAAACATCCAATTTCTCTGGCGTTTAAAATCCAAGCCTGAAGACGCAGGATTCCAATGAGAGCCTTTGTGTTGCCAGCGGCAATGTGCTGCCGAAGGAGATATTCAACAAACTTCAATGTGAAGCAATGATTCTTTGGAAGAAGTACTGGAAACGTGGCATCGAGTGAAGTGGGCGCCTTGGCTAAGCGGCCTCCTACACGTAATAATGTTATAGAACGGTTTTTTTTTCGCGACTCCCGTTGCTTGACGTGCAACCCACCTCCCGCCCAACCGAACGAGGGGCGCTGCCGTCTGACGTACGGCTCGGAACACAGGGATAGATCCGAGTGGATTAGTAAAGATACGAGGAAAGTTAGTTTTGTGCTAAATTGATTAGTATCGAAACATTCAAAGTGTTAGGAGAAGAGTTAGAAGTAATGTTATAAAGATGTAGTTTAAACATAGTACCCGAAATGGTTTATGTTCGGCAAAGTTCGAACTGCAATGCGCTAAGGATAGAGGAATATAGTTTCTAGTAATCCTACGGGGTACATGGATATTCAAGCGGCCTAGAAGGGCTTGGCTATCAATTTCACCCTTAAGAAGATTATGGATAAAGACGACACCAAGTATTGACCTACGATTAGCGAGGGATGGCAAATTGATTAGTAAGAGTCTACTTTTATAAGAGGGAAGGTGTATGTTTGCATCCCAGTTGAGACCGCGGAGAGCAAATATTAAAAAATTATTTTGGATGGATTCAATAAGGCACTGGTGAACCCATTACTGGGGGTCCCAGATAAAAGATCCATACTTCAGAATCGGACGAACCAAAGAAATAAAAACATAGAGTCATTAACAACCAAGGGAAGGTCATTAATGAATAAAGTAAAAATTAACGGACCTAGGTGCCTCCCCTGAGGGACCCCGGAGGAAGCATAGACTAAACACTGAATTTTTAAAAAGAACTCGTTGCGTCCTACCTGTGAGATAACTGCTAATCCAACCCAGGAGATCAGTAGGAAAACCGATAAGATCGAGGTTTTTCTAAAAGAAGGCCGTGATTCACGGAGTCAAATGCATTACTGAAGTCAGTGTAAATGACAGTGAAGTTTATTTTGGAAACCTGTGATCACGAAGGATGTTAGTTCCAGAAGATTGGTAGTGGTAGACCGTTGTTTCATAAAGCCATGCTGGCATGGAGATATGACAGATCTACACTGGTGCTGCAAGTGAGGCACAAGAATTTTTTCGAAAAGTTTCGGAATTGCTGATAGTTTAGATATACCTCTGTAATTTTCAGCATCCAATTTTCTCCCCTTCTTGTGAAGGGGAATAATAAGGGACTCGTTCTAGATAGCGGGAAACGTAAATAATTTTAAAAGGGATTTCGCCAGGGTAGGAAAGCAGTACCTAAGCACCCAGCCCGGTACCCAGTCTGGACCTGGCGAAAAGACTGGCTTCACATTCTGAAGATCCTTTATAACCCCACATATCCACAAGGTGGGTTGGGAAATAAAATTAGACCGGGAGATATCATAAGCGTAAGTCTGCGCGTTTATTAACAAAGGTGAATATCCTGATCCGTGCTTGCATTCCAAAGATTTTCCAAACGATAGCAAAGACAGAAAGGTTTTAGATATACGCTTAGTGTTATCAAAACTATAGAACTGTTTCGGATCCAGAGCACAATGGTTCTTACATCGAGCTAAATAGTTCTGATAACACTGAGTGTTATGCACGGTAAAGTTAGACTGAGCCACTTATAATGCACATAACAGTCATTGCTATTAGTTCTTAAGTATTTTTTAAACAATCTTAATTTGATATTTTTAGATTAGAAAGGTGCCTTTTATACCAAGGGGGTTTATCCGCCATAGCCGGATACCGCAACGGAACAAAGCGATCAAAAATTAAGTTTAATGTACTATAAAATATATCTAGAGCAGTCGACATATCGGTACATGCGTAAAAATCGGACCAGTCAAATTCTGAAATAAAGTTATTAATTTTTTTAAACTCGGCTTTACGAAAACATCGAATTTTCTTATCAGCGGGGGTGTGTGAGAGGTGGAGCTCTGTATATGGATACGGCGTCCGTATCAGAGAGAAAGCACAGTTCGAGCAAACGACCTAAGCGACCTATATGATTAATTTGAGCCAGTGAAATGTCTAACATGCCAGCAGTAAACTCGTGATGCGACGTAAGTGTTAAAGCTAAGGTGTTATCGTTCATGGACCAAGACACCTGGGGTAATGCATTGTACAAGTGAGCTACAAGGCTGCTCCAATGGGAAACTGATTAGAGAAATTATCCGCAATATATTTCAAACTCCTGATTGCTAGAAATGGAGCGCAGGACATGCCGTACGTAATAGCGTTGAGCTGATACAATTATAAAGGCGCAGCTAAGGATTCTCTCCAGAGAACAAAATGATACATACGATCGTCTGGAGATACTTCAAACTGGCGATACATCTTGCAGATATCAGCTACAAGTGCATGACGATGTATGCGAAAGGCAAGAAGTGTTAAGATAAGATGGATGCTTGGTCCAATCATCAACATCTCATTTAGAGAAAGGTTCGACGTTGTTCTGCATTATGCATCAAACAACACGCAGCTTGGTAGTCGTGCTTACATTTTTTCGTCTTCTTTGTGCCGCGGTTCCTACGCTTGCGGTATCCACGACGACCCAATGGCGATGATTTCGGTGATCCAACGATGCTTCCGGAGAGCCAACGATGATGCCAAACGGACTGACAATAGTCCGAGGAGCTGCACTGCGTGCCGAAAATACACCAAGTATTCTGGCGTTGCTGGAATCTATTTCTCCGCCGAATGCAGAGGGAATGATCCTAAGTGTGAATAGAATTTATGGTGGGACTTGCTGAATGCAGAATCCTGTCACGGTCGTCAAAATGTGCGGACTCTGCCGATTGCAGAGTAATTAGAGTAAACGTCCTAGCTGCTTCGATTTTTAATATGCACTGATTTTTAATGTTCGATTTCGAGATTACAAAAGTGAGATATGTACATGCGTGAGCTGCATATATAAGAGTGCGTAAGGCGAATTCAAAATATAAACATATGATTACAGTGCGTTATTTATAAAACAATAATATCTAAATAAAATTAGCATTAACTTATAATACAAACAATAATATTTAAATAAAATTAGCATTAGCCTATGATGTCATCGTCACTGCCCATTTGAAGCCTTA